ACCAAGAGTCTTCAGAGCATCGGAACACAGCAAGCGATGCAGAGGACGAGGATGAGGAAGACGACAGTGAAATCTTAAAAATCATGGAAAAGTTGCCTAGGGGCGTGGATCCCCAGTCAGCAAAGCAAATCCTGAACGACATTGTAGTACGCGGGGATGAAGTACACTGGGAGGACATAGCAGGCTTAGAAGGAGCCAAAAAGGCGCTCAAAGAAGCAGTCGTCTACCCATTCCTCCGTCCAGACCTCTTCTCTGGTCTCCGCGAACCAGCTCGCGGAATGCTCCTTTTCGGGCCCCCGGGCACCGGAAAAACCATGCTCGCACGAGCAGTAGCCACAGAATCCAAGTCAACCTTCTTCTCCATCTCCGCCTCAAGTCTAACATCCAAATGGCACGGCGAAAGCGAGAAGCTCGTGCGCGCCCTCTTCGGGCTCGCCAAAGCCCTTGCTCCATCCATCATCTTCGTCGACGAGATCGACTCCCTCCTATCAGCCCGATCATCTGGCTCAGAACACGAGGCCTCCCGTCGCTCTAAGACCGAATTTCTGGTTCAGTGGTCCGACCTCCAGCGCGCAGCTGCAGGCCGCGAACAAACAAGCCGCGAGAAGAAGGAAGGCGATGCTAGCCGTGTTCTCGTCTTAGCCGCTACCAATATGCCCTGGGACATTGACGAGGCTGCACGTCGCCGCTTCGTCCGTCGTCAGTATATCCCCTTGCCCGAACATCATGTCCGCGAGCAGCAGCTACGCAGGCTTATCAGTCACCAGCACCACGAGCTGAGCGACGCGGATATCCAGGTCCTGGTACAGGTGACAGAAGGTATGTTTCTTTCCCGTGTATCCTTTTTTTTTCCCATGCTCTAGTTCGTCTTGCTAATTGACATTACCAGGCTTCTCCGGCTCAGATATAACAGCTCTCGCCAAAGATGCAGCCATGGGCCCCCTACGTAATCTGGGTGAGGCCCTCTTACACACACCTATGGACCAGATCCGCCCTATCAAATTCGAAGACTTCGAGGCAAGTCTGTATTCTATTCGGCCTAGTGTGTCCCACGACGGACTCCGAAAATATGAAGATTGGGCAAAAGAATTTGGCGAGCGAGGTGGATAGAGTAGATTTGGATTTACCTCATCTTGAGCTTTTTTGGTTCTGCTCTGTCTCTATTTTACACCTCCTTGTCTGTGGGGTCCTTGTATCTTAGATAGAATTATAAAAATTCAATAGCGATTCTTCTTTCTTCTTCTGTTAGCTTGAACCTATATTCAAACAGCCAAATGTGTCAAATTTAAATTTCAGAGATATATATTTTGGAACCGACCTGACCCATCGACTGATAGTTTTACACTATAAACCAAAGCTCGGGGCATCAGCAGGTGGTTTCATTGTACATTTAGATATGAATTAAGTACAACCTGTACAGGGAATATATAGATCAACTCAACAACACCCGGATCTCTCCTGTTGTTCGAGGGAACAACGATCTCAAACTCCACTTTTCACCCTCGCCTTCTTCGTCCTCCTTCTCACTGGCTTCTGTCTTGCCATCGGATTTACCACTCCGGCCGCTGACACTAGCCCCGGTTCCCATGCCCACATCCACTGTTCCTCGCGCCTCGTCGGCGGCAATAATCATGCCTTCGACGAACTCGAAATCACGACAGAATGCTTCGACTGCATCCTCGGTGACGCTCTGGATAAGGGAAAGACTTTGTACGCGCTTCAGATTATCGGTTGCGTCCATGAGCGCAGATGGGAGGAAGTCGTCGAGTTGTTGGCTCGATGTAATCAGGGACTCTGGTTGGAAGGCTGGGAGATTGGCTAAATCGGCTAGCTGGGGTTTCTGCTGGTCTGGCTTTTCGGTCTTGTCTTCGGCGGTGTCTGAGAAAGGCTCTAGGGCCTCTAAGAGCGTTTTCAGACCAGAGGCCTCGAGGAGGAATTGGTGTTGGGTATCGAGAAGATCGTTGCGTAGGGTTGATAAGGCGGCAGAAATGGGAGGGGCGTGCGTGGAGCTGGCGAAGGGGAAGGGTGACACAGCTGCGCGGGCTGCAAGGAGTATGTTTGTGCGGTAAATGGACTGCGCTGTGGTGGTTTGGAGTTCATCGGATGAGGACCGGGCTAGTGTTAGGAATGGATCGAAGGCGGCCCGGAGGACAGAAGTGAACGGGTTCTCGTTGTTCGCGTCTGGAGATAAATCTTCTGGTCCGACGGACGATTCATATGTCTTCATCAGTACTTCCAGGCCTTCCAATGCTTCTAGCAAGAACTGTGGAGGCGACAGGTCGTCTGATGGAGTCAGGGCAATGTGATCGCCCGCTAAGGCGCTGATCTGGTCTCGCATCAAAGTCTCAAAGTGGCCAAGAGTGAACTTTTCTAAGCTCTGAATCAGATCCACCAAGTGCGATTGTTCGCCCACTAGTCTGGTGAAAGTTGTGCGGTAGAAGGACAGCAAGTTCACCACTTTGTAGCAAGTAACAGGGTCGTCATGGCTCTGAATGACAAGCTCTATTCTCTGCCGCAATGATCGAGACACTCCATTAAGATCGCGGTTGACCAAGTCACTAAGTGCCTTTTGGCCATCAAAGGCAACCGCCTGGCCCTCATCGATGCGCGACCAGGGCTCGCTACTGAGGCCGACTTCAATCCCGCGAGCGAGTTCGTCCCCGTCATCAACAAACAACGACTCGAGAGCCTCTCGCTCTGAGACAGTTGTGGAATGCACCCACGCAAGCATGTCACCAATGTACCGAAGTGGGTCATGCGCTGAGAACTCAATCGGTTTGACAGTGTGATCACCGGCGCCAGGCCCATTGGCCCCGGAAACAGCATCAGTCAGTGCATAGTGGAAAGCATCGGACAGCACATAGTCCCGCGCCTCCGCAAAGAAATCCAGACAGCTGTGGAATAGACTCGGGCGTTCTGCCAGCACTCGTAGAGCGCGACGGATCGTACTGCTTATGCGAGGGTCCTCTAGATTCAAGGACCTGAATTCTTTTTGGATCCATCGGTAGAGCTTTTGATATGCTGAGTTGAGGTTCCGGGTGCTCAGTTCCATCACCTCCATTCCCAGTCGCTGGTTCTCACCGCCGAGCAAGACTTCGCAATCGTGATGCACTTGCTTGACACGAGCTAGCACGTCAAAGAACCGTTCGTCAACGGGCTCCTCGGCCGATGTCAAGACTAGTAAATCCTCTTCCGGAACTAAGAAATGCTTCGAAAAGGCTTCCAACAGCTGTTGCTTGGTCTCGGTCTCTTTCTTCTGTGTCATCAGGGTGCTGGCCTCCTCGAGTACCGGCGTGGTATCCTGCTTCGCGAGGTTGATTCGTTTGCGCATATCGTCGCATGTCTGGTTAAGTGTTGAGACCACCGTTCCGATTCGTCTCAATTGCTGTTATTGCCATTTAGGAATTAGACTTCTGGACCCCAATCTCTAAAAGAGCAATAGGAGTCTCACCTCTGCCACTTTTCCAAAGTCCTTGACAATCTCCGCGTTGCAATCGACAACTTCTTTTTGCACATCTAGTCGTAGTTGCCGACGTGTTTCTGCAGTATTATGAATGCCCCTCAAGCTCAAAGTCTCGAGGGAGTCTCGAATGTCTGAGTCCGCATACGACGCCGACAGAACTGTTGTCAACCGATTGGTGAGGGCGTTCGGGCGCTGCATTGGCGGGGATAATGAAGATGATGCGGTCGGCGTATTAGCGCCATTACTGGTACTACCATTTGGTGGGAAGTAGCTGGTCATTGTTGTTTGAGCAAACCAGCGGGGAGTCGGCGAGGGGAAGTAGAGGACAACCTCCGACTTGGCGCATCGACCGCCTTCGCCGCATCTTATCGTCAACACATTACTCTACTTATTTCCCCTGTTGATTCGCTCAATTTATTCAGTTCTGGAATTGCATTGCTACCTGAACGTATGGATAGCCCACTCGTTTCGCCAGCCAAGGCCCGCCAGGCTGCTATTCAAGCTAAAGATTGGGCGTACGTGAACTCCTGGCTCAATCGACAATACGCGCCCAACCCAGTTCCCAAGTTCGAGCGCAATGAAGATACCCTACGTGTCCTCCTGACCCTAGCTGCAGCAAATGATGCTGCAGATGAAGAAGCTTCTCTGCAGCATTGCGCGCGCGAAGAGGCGGTCGAGGCATACAAACTACGGGAAGAGTTCGAACGCAAAGATCCCCATGAACAAGTGAAGAATCAACTCCTTGATGAAGTGGAAAGTTGTTTGGATGATAAAGGAAGATGCGATCTAGAGGACCTCGCCGACTCTGCCGTAGCTCTGGGCAATACCTTAAATCCGACCCCGGGGGATCTGGGGCAGTCGATTGTGGAGCTCACGGTGGAGGAGTTCGAGGCCCAGGAGCAAATTGCAAAGGTCGACACATTGCATCGGTATCTCCAGCGAGAGTTGGTACGGCTACAGACGGAGCTTGAGGAATTGAAGACCGATGTGGCGTATGAGACGCCTTCCGATACACAAAGCTTGACGTCGGAATGGATACGCGGCACGAAGACACTTGCGATCAAGGTTGGGGAATACCAAGATCGCATTGCATCATTAGAAAAAGTCCAACCCCGGGGGCCAACTATTGAAGAGCTGTTGGCGGAGGAGGAGAATGTTATCAGGATGCGGGAGACGGTCAAGGCTCTGCAAGGCCGCGTGAGGGCGTTCCATGATCTTCCCAAGGATACCCCAGGGGCACGGGCAAAGTATAAGGAGCTAGAACGCGAGCTTAAACAACTTAGGCGACAACGAGATTCAATGGTAGTATAGGCGGCACTAAAGCCAGCTTTCTACGTACTTTGGTCTTCCTTCTACAACGTTGGTCTACATAATGAATGAAGCTTCTCCCACTTGAAGATGTATTCAAAGAGCAGGCCCTCTGGCTAATAAAAAGCTGCAAATGGTAATGTCAACTCATGATGAGTCTTGGGTGCAGGGCTGCCCGCAAAGTCATGGAATGATCATGATAATGACTACTCACCTAAGGGAGACCATCTTAATTGCCGCCGAGGCCGAGAGCACCCTTAGCCTTATCACCACTAGAGGTAGTTAGGATATAAATCTTTGGTTCCAATAACAGAGTAACTTACGCTGACCCAGTGGCACCACTGCGGCCGTGGTTGTCACTGACACGCTGGATCTTGCCGAAGCCATCCTGGTTTATACCCTTGCTATCATCAGTCTTCAAGCCGCGGGTAGCGCGCTCGGTGGTGTCAGTGACACTCTCCTTGGACTTATCCTGGTTGGGATCAGGAATGATATCCTTCTTAGACTTGTCCTGATCGGGGTCAGGGATGGGCTCCTTCTTGGCCTCTGGAGGAAGAAGTAGTCATTAACGATGTCTTAACATCTTGAAAGATAAAGCAGTGGCACATACTGGTGGTAAGATCCTTGCGACCAGTGTCGGACATGATGAAGATTGATTGAAGTTTGGTGCTTGAAAGTAGGAGTAAACTATGTAGTTTGGAAGTATAAGATGTTGACGAAGGAAGAATAGCCGAAAGGGCAAAAGGGGGGTTTATATAGACTTGTCTGGCCTCATTGTAACCGCTAAAAGAAGTGTTACATGACTTTCATTGTTTGCTATCATGATCGGCTTCATTTACAATATACACCAGATGCAAGCTAGGCAATGTATAACTCTACAGATCTATTTGGGCCGGGACCCCGGACTAACCACAACCTCCAGTTAAAATCGCGGCTCTTCCAATGGGCGTGGTTCCTAAGTCCCAGCTGTATCCATAGATGGTGCCCTTTCACGACATATAGGCTGTGGCACACGATAGTGCTCGGTTTGCTCCAGCAGGCTTTCTAGAAATGACATCATAAAGATGGCTCGGGCCGTTGCCACGATATTTTAAGTTATGTACATAAATCACGGGACTATTCATTATCTATCACATGTTTTGCAGTCACATGATACAATGGCCCACATTTCCAGGGGCGACCAATTCTAATTGGTCAACGATATTTAGCAGAATGACTCACCGCCTCCGTCACCTGCTTGGGCATCAACTGTAAGTGGTCTGTCTGTGATCAACTCGGTCGCTCTCATTCTCATTTTGACTCACACCATGTGATCTGTTCTTCTTCATGCACGAGATTGTCAATTTGATCGTTATCGTCGTTATCGCTTCGTTATCGTGCTTTTATTTGCTATCGGCCAAACCCTAACACACCCGCTACATCGGTCTCATCTAACTGCCAATGACTGCGTCGGATCCCCCTGTCCCTTCAAATTGGGACTTTACTCCAGTGCATGACCTACTGCAGTCACCCGCTGAGGGCTGCATTGCTAGACCTGGTCGTCACAAAGAATCAACCATCTCCTCGCTTGGTGAACAACAAGCCAAGGATGATGTCCGTTACACCACTAATGGCAGGCGTGTGGATCCTATCACCCAGCGCAGTAGCCCAGAGCTTGGTGACTTCGGTTCTCTTTGGGAGCTTCTCAATGAGGTCGCTACTCCTGCAAGTGTCACACCAACTTTAGGGTCCGCAAAGACCACCAAGTCCGAGCTGGAATCGCTCGATGAATTTCTTGCTAGTTTAGCGGAAAGACCCACGAAGAGGGTCTCATTCACTGGCCTCTTTGACATTGAAACATCCATTCCCGTTTCATACAACACCCGTCGCACCATCAATGAGCCAAATCCTCGGGTCCTCAAAGACACCGCCACTGGCTACGCTTTCCATTCTTCTTCTCGGCCTGAAACGCACGCGACAGGTATTCCTACCAATCTCGAGAGTCCACCATTCACTATCTTAAAGCGGACCTCGGTTATTGAGCCTTCTGGAACGAGTGCCAATGTGAAATTTGGTGTCCCACGAACACCCCCGAAGATGATTGCCAGAGCCATAGTTGGTAGTCCAAGTGATACACCCACGGCGAAATCCAAGTCTCGGTCAGGCAGAAAAAGACCCGGAAGGAACGCCCGCAATTGCCCAGTCACTTCTGAAGAAAGTGCTGGGCTAGAATCGGACACAAGCGTTGTATTTGATCATTCCGTTTCTGATAGATCTTTGGCTATCTTTGTCCCATCTCAAGTGCGTACACCTGGAGCGAAGACTCACCGTTATGATACCCCACCGTCGTCATTTGACGATCATGACTGGATACTGAATGACGATGCCATGCGAGGACTTGGTTTTGGAGGTACTCATGTGCAGCCTACCCGACAGCTATCAGCCGCGGAGCGAAGAATCGCCCTGATGAGCAGACTCCTCGTCCACTTTCCTGATTACGCCAAAGTCGTGTCTCAAATGGGACTGGCTTTGGAGTATCGTCCCGATAATGATATTAGCTCACGTCCTATTCATGTCTTTGTTGACATGTCAAACGTATGTTTTAGTCCCCCCTCTACCCAAATTTTCTCAAGCTAACTCACCTCAGATCATGGTTGGATTTCACGATTCAGTGAAAGCCTCGCGGAACATCCCTCCCTCGACCCGGATTCCTCGTGCCCACATGTCCTTCGCCAACCTCGCATTGATCATGGAACGCGGCCGTCAGGCCGCCAAGAGGGTCTTGGTCGGCTCGGACCATCTTCCCTCCGTCGATGAAGCTGAGAGACTCGGCTACGAAGCGTGCATCCTCGAACGTGTGCACAAGGTGAAGTCGATCACACCCCGTCGCACCATCAAATCGCAGAAGTATGCCTCCAGCTTCCAGGGTGGATCTAGCGGTCCTGAAACGGTCGCCACCTCTGGAGAGCGATGGGTTGAGCAGGGTGTGGACGAAATTCTACACCTGAAGATCCTGGAGAGCATTTTAGATACGGTCCACCCGGCTACGATTGTTTTGGCCACGGGGGATGCGGCAGTGGCCGAGTTCTCCGGCGGTTTCATGAAGATGGTTGAGCGCGGGCTTCAGCGCGGCTGGAATGTTGAGCTTGTCAGCTTTTCCCAGGGCACTAGCAACGCGTATCGGAAGAAGGACTTCCGCATTCGGTGGGGAGACCAGTTCAAGCTGGTTGAGCTAGACCGGTACCTGGAGGAACTGTTTGAGTGAATGGCGAAGCCTGACTCCGTTGTTAAACGGAGATTTACTTTGCTATTTCAATTTTAAATGCAATCACGACACCTTTGTTAGTAATGACTCAAATTCCTTGAATCTGTGACTCGAGTCGTTTAATGTAGCTCATAGTCGTATACTCCGGATTGAGTCAACTCCCCGCCAAACCGCCAGACGTCATTGGGCGGAAAACACCCGCCCGCACTTGTTGCCTCATGCACGCTCGTCTACCTAAACGACTCTCCGTTCTGGAACTATATAGTCTCTGTTGATCCGTGCTACTCTCCAGTATTGTTTGTCTTCTTCTATATTGTCGAACTTCAGGCAAAAGAGGAACAGAGAAAAAACCCGCAATTTCTCTCGAAGAATTTGGATTTGCTCCTGCACAACCAGCAGAACGTCCTTGCAAAAAGAAAGAAAAGAAAAAAGATCAAAAAAGATCAAAATTGGCCATCTTACAATCAAAACATATCAAATCCACCATGTCTCAATTCACAGAGCAAGAGTTCTTCGGCGGAGCCATTCGAGGCGTCGTGCCACAAGGCTGGATTGATTCGAGGTCAGTATACAACTCTCCAATGCATCAAGTGCCCATTTTATCACTCCAATCCATTCCCAATACCATCCCAGAACATCCCAATCAAAAAGAACCCCGAAACTAACACCCAATCCAGCACTCTCCGCGAGGTCCCCGACCACCAAGAGCTATGGCTCTCACCAACCACTCTCTCCAACCTAATCATCGAAATCAACCAGCGCGTCCCACAAGACGAAGCTCTCAGCACCTTTGCCACGCTCAACCAGCAACTCACCGCCGCCCCAGGCAGCGGTAGCGCTGCACCCGCAACGACAGAAACTGTCGACCAAGCCGCCGCCCTGCACCACCTACACGATCTCTGCGACGAAGGCGACACCATGCAGGTGATCAAGTCGCCCACGCGCGTCGACGTCCAGCTTGCTTCTTCCTCGCCTACCCCTTCCGGTGTCCGGGCGTATCGCGGCATTGTGTCCTTCACGACGCCGGTGCGCGGCGGCGGTGGACGCATCCCTGCGTCGGCTGAGGGGTCTGCTGCTGGTGTTGCGGATGCCGGAATGTTGGGCGCGCAGGTGGATGAGGTTTCTAATGGTTTGCCGCAGGTTTCGAGGTTGACGTGCCATTTCTTGATTGTTAGACTTGAGGCGCAGGATACGGATTTGTTGGTCTTCTTTAATGTGCCTCATGAGGAGTTTGATAAGACTGGGGATCCTAATGGGTTGTCTGTTGAGGAGGTTCTTGCTGAAGAGACTATTGGGGCTTTGACTGGGAGATTGCAGATTTGTGATTGGGGTCTATTTGTTTAGGTCTTATGGACTTGGATTTAGACGGCAGATTGGGACTGAGCTTGGGGAGATATGGTTGTGATAGCTGGGCTTTGGGACAGACAAGTGCCATTTGCGCTTTGAGACGAGTAGATAAAAAATGAAACATTGACTTCTAAGCTTATCTTGTATGTTAAAGGACCACCAGTGCTTTAATCTATACATAAATCAAAGGTTGTATTGTGGTATAGTGCTATCTAGTAAAGTTCTATAGATCTAGCCATTTTATAGTCGGCGACTCTCATATATCCATCGGCATTGCAGTCCATTCTGTTGATTCGTCAGACTCTTCAGAAACACACCGTTCACATTGGCACACAAAACGGAACGATTTTCGAAGATGCTCGCGACGCGAAGTAATATCCGTATATTGTGTTAGGTCGAAGTACGAGATGCAACATTCCTCGCCCGGAAAAATATCGCGGGAGGCGGTGAAGACCATGCGGCCTTTATCGTCGGCTTTATGGATGATCTAGTGGTGACTTAGCATTACACTCACACATTTACACCTCGGGAAAGAATTCCACTTACATTTGGCAGACATGAATGATTAGCTATAGCCGCAGTGGGGTAAACAGCAGCAGCATATTGCTCCCCTCTATCGACCGGAGGATTTGGCAGGGGGAAATGGCCTGTTTCGCGTGGGTAAAGACCAAATGAGTTTGCTTCTTCCTGACAAATAAGATGAAGAACACGATCTGCACTCATCTCATGGGGAAGAGCGGGATTACTCCGGAGATACTTCTTCACAAGAACAGACCAAGACCGGACCTCGTCATGAGGCCAAGTATCCTCAGAACCACGCAGCGACTCAATACCACTCCATCCATGCTTCCAATGCCTTGTCGACTCAACGACACCAAGCGCTGTCCGTCCATGCAATTGACAATGTCGCGCAGCAAGTAGCCGAAGAATGACCCACAGCATGCCGAAATCATATTCACTCCTTTTTGACCGGATAGTGCCCGCATACCGTTTGAGCCAAGCACATTCAAATCCATGTCGAAGACTATCAGCGTCACGACATGTGCTACCGCACCACGTCACATCCGGGATACAGGCATTCGGACATGGACTCCGGGCATGGCGAGGCGCCGGCCGATTACATGCAGGATTGCTGCAGATGAGATTGTCGTTGGTAGCGGGTTCGTCGACGACCGGGATGACTGCGTACGGGGAATCGACGAGGAGACAGGCGCCTTTGGGGACGGGACCGGAGACGCGGAATTGGCGGCCTTTGATCGCGTCGGTGCTTTCGATTAGCTGTGGGTGGATCCAATCGGGCTGCGTCTGGGTGATTCCTGTTACATGAATCCGGTCCGAGGGTTCCGTGGTGATATATACGACTTGAGACATGGTTGGGTTGGGTACTTTGGGGGAATGTCTAGGTCTGTTTTGGGGGTTTGTTTAACGTCGGTTTCGACGGCAAATTCTTTTGCGCGTCCATTATTGCGCAGGTTTTGGTTCCTGGCCTGTGGGTCGTTTGATTCGCCTCCCGGATGTAAGGGCAATGAAGTTATCCAAGCGACTACGAGTGATTGGGGTCCCACACACGGGCATAGATTTGTTGACTTTATTGGCTGATCTGTATTTTTAGCGGAGTAGCTTAATTGATCCACTTTAGATGAGGTAGTGCGTAGATGATAGTAGCATGTTATATAACTAGCTTCTCTGTAAAGGCCTTATCAAATGTCACAGCAGATTGAAAGTACGGTATGGCAACAATTACTATCTGAGACTGAAACAGGATAAAGGTTGAAGGTACATGTATGTGAGATCTCAATGCACCTACAGCCACGATTCGGTAGGTGTTGAACACCACCTTGACATCGACACCCTTGTAACTAAGTTTAAAAGGTAGTAGCTGTATAATCTAGAAAGATAGGTATGTAGTATACATTTGAGTTCATCTTAGCTTCACCTGATAATGACTAGTCACTGACCCTGCGGAGAAGGGTGAGCTCGTCGTCAGTGCTAGCTAACTATATACTAAGGATAAGGTAAGGATAGACATGTATATCAGAAACTTCCAACTCCCCCCCTACGCCCTCGCCTGGCTCAGCATATCTGCCGAGCACTCGTCGGCTGGCTGAAACTCCTGAAGCTCGATGGCATTGCCCCCATCCCCATCCTCCACCACCCCATATCCAACGCGGAAAGGCAGCTGATAAAACCAAAACAATTGAAAAAAAAGGCTTAGGCCATCAGGGATGGCCATAATCAAGAAGAAGAAAAAGATTTGTGATATGTTCAACAGGCTAATTCATCCGTTGTCCATCGTCAAGGTTGGTCCACGATGATGATTCATTGTATGCGCCCGCTGTGGTGTTCGGCTGCTGTTGGTTGATGTCTGGGCGGACGAGCCAGCCACCAGAGTAGTATGATGTACTGAATATGGTGGTGGAGGGCATTGGTTGTAGTACATGGCGGAGGTCTTTCATATCCAGGACAGAGCCTCCGACCTCTATCCCATGGGCACTACAAAGATTTTACTTTTTTTTCTTCTCTTTTCTTCAGGAAGTGTGAAGGAAGGGTTCAAGCTAACTTGGATGAATGGTAAAGCTTCGTCCTTTGATGTTGATTGTGTTGGCCTGTTTCACACACTGCCACCTCGTTCGACATGGTAATAAACCCGCTTGCTTTGACAATATGTCCAACGTGTGTAAAGCGATGATTATTCCATTGTGATGGTGTGTGTGAGAGGAGGAGAAGAGAGGAAGAGGGAAAGAGGGAAAGGCCAATAAATAGTCTACGTAGCTGGATGAAGCTCTAAAAGAGGAGTCTCGAATATGGTCCTAATGTTCTGGGAGTTCTAAGCTATATGCCATTGATCGCACTACCTGCCTTATACTACAATTTACTTCAAGGCATGCAAGCCCCTCTCTCGCAACTCCCAGCGGATATGGGCCCGCCCCGAGCGCGTTCGCAGAGAATATATAGGCAACACCTGCACAATATAGGTTCTTTGCGATGTGTTGTCTCTCATATCTCGTTACTTGGCTCTCAAATTCGTACTTTCCGCCTCTTTGGTGCACCATCTCAAATGCGCAAAGATCCTCCAATATACATCCTCGGCCGCATCCTTTCCTACAATAGGATCAAGATGCCCATACCCCTCGACTAGGAACCTGCGATACAGTCTCTCGCCGAATCGACGTCGCAGCAACTCGTAGTCCTTGAGCGTAGACTCAGGACTGAAAACTTGGTTCTCCGTACCCGAGACAAAGAGAATCGGCAACCCTTGCAGTCGCTGCAAATTCTCATCTGTCAGAAGAGGACATGAATCATTATCCATGCAAATCCCCCGAGTTCCCATGCGAACCACGTGTTTCATAAGCTTCGTATGTGTCCCCGCGAAAAATTGGTGAACATTGTCATGCAGACTCATATCAAGGTTCTCGTGATTCCATAGTAGCCCAAAAGCAAAAGATGTCCGGTGACACGCTGTAGATGTGCAGATGTCCCGCGTGTGTCCAACAGGATAGAGACGAAGGAGCGTATCGAGTAATCGTTGGAGAAGAACACTCTTAGCACTGCTGACAATCGGGAAGTAATTCCCAGCCAGTAATTCGTAGAACTGGATCAGCAGAGTCGTTCTCCCCTTGAGGGAGTTCCAGTACCCAAAGACCTGATTCATGAAGACTGAGTTGGCAGTAACGCCGAGAAGTTGGCTACTTTGGATGGTTCCATCCAGCAGGCCCATGCAGAGAGCCACCGAGCCTTGGCAATGGGCTACCACATAGGGCTTCTGTCGCTCTTTGTCGCGAATATATGCTATTGCAGCAGCAACGTCAAGACGGCAGTCGAAGACTGTGCTTTTCTGCGCAACCGCGGGATCACAGCCCCAGCGAGGGGTGAGTGCGTAGCATCGGTGTCCACGCTGTGTGAGATACTCAACCATGTTGCAGCGCAAAAATGGCAGTGAATACAAATTGTGCATCGCGCCGATCCCAGTGACTCCGGGTAGAAGTAGGACTGGTGCAAGATTGCAGTTAGGTCCTGGCTCGTCTGTCTTTTGTGCGGGGAGTGGGTCATATATATCAAGATGTATCTGTACGCCATCGCTTGCGGTGACATTGCACGAGGTAGAAGGTGGTTGTTTTACATCGGTGCCTTTAGTTGAGATCTGAGGGAAGCGCATGCGGACGAAAGGGCGAACGAAGAACAAACTGATGTGGTAAATAAAAGAAACCAAAAACCACACCAAGGCCAAGATAAGACTGATCTGGAAGTCTTTTGTCGTCCGAAATGTCCGCATCTGCTTTTGGAAGTCTAGCAATGAGATATGAAGGGCCCCTGCTCCAATAGTTGTCCCGTCCAGTCGAGTGATATTGACATTCACCGTAGTTGTCGCTTCCCAGGTCTTTCTGGCGGAAAAGGCTATGTTTGTGTTGATCAGCTTGTGGCCTTTCAGGCGGTACTCTATGCCCTCTACCGATAGCAGCTTCAGGTGATATGATATAGCTGATGATTCGGCATTCTCCTCTATTGGCGTGAAAAAGTCTACCGTTCCTTCGACAATCTTGAGCGTGGCTCTAGATAATGCGTAACAAGAAATCGTCCCGGTGCATATTCCTTGGTATTGTGAATCTGTACATGTGAGCATTCTACTGCCAGAGTGCTCTCTCGACTCTCGGTTTCTCACCTCGGCAGATTTCGATCGTAAGAAACATCCGCATCGCGCAAGATGAGCCTTTTCCTACCCTCTCAGAAAGCGCAAAACTTCCGTTATCCGACCGCATGCTGATGTGCCCATGCATAGTCTCTGTGAATTTCCATCCTATCGACTGCGATGTTTTCTCGGTACTGTCTTGATGGTCTTGGAAATCGCACGATATACTAGGCTTGCAGTAGGCGTTTAAAGTCTGATTTTCAGTCTCAATATCAATTGATAATCCAGATCTCTCGGTAATCAAACTGACGGATCGCTCGGAGAGGGCTGATATTGTGCCGAGTGGGTTCACGCCTATCAGAATCAGCACATAGTAAGCCATAAATTTTTACTTGCAACATACCCAGGGCTGTCGGGATGATAGATGCATCACAGCACACGAGGCCTTTGTATACTTCACCATTAGAGCCACTGAAAACCTCTCCTAGATGATTTGTCACACCCCCATGCCCTGTTCCATCGTTGCTCATGTTGGCTCCTCCAAGGAGATGGACTGTGGTTTCCTCCTGGTGACGACCTTTGGCTATGTTTAGCGCAGCTTTGTTATGGCTTTTATCGATTGTTACCGTAAAAATAGGAAAACCCCATCCTTGAGCCTGTGCGAGCAAAACTCTCATTGAAAAGGTTCTTTATCCATTTGAAATGCTCAGATCGCCCTTCTCCCGGTCCCCGGAGGTACAATCGATCATCCTTCAAGATCAAAGTTATCTCGTTGCTGTCATGAGACATCACCAGATAAGTTGAAGTCCGCTGAAGAGCTCCATTGTATGCATACGGACCGAATAGCAGAGACTTGAGAGAGGCAAGGGTCTTCTTAGCTTCTTGGCGAGGGTTCCAAAGACAACACAGCGCCTGGCTCTTCATAGTTTGCAGGGTGAGCATGATTTGGATTACCGGGTTGAACATCGCAGGAATGCAACCATCTTGGATAACATATCCAGAAAGAGGATTGTCCAGAGGATCAACGACTCGGTTATCAATAACAGCAGTGACTGTTGTTCCAGGGGGAGCACGCGAGGATTCACCGGCGATCCCGTTGATATTAGCATATCCGTTGTAACCTTGAATCTGTAAATCAAATGTGCTCGGACTGATATTCTGGGGAAGTACGTACCAAATATCAAAAAGTCCCCATTTCCAGAGAGATTCCTTCCAACAAGCGGTGACATATGGAGGCCGTGCTGCTTTGACCGAAGCAAGACTTCAGTAGTTCCTAGAGCGCCAGCCCCAAGAAAACAGAACTCCTTCTGTGATTGAAGTAGAAAGAGTGAGTTGATATGTCCACTTCCGAAGTGAATTCGATACTTACTGCTTTGACCCAAAAGAGTTGTTCCTTGAAATGATCCGCAAACACCGACCTCCCACTTCCATGCCAAGCAAAGTGTATAGTGTAGCCTCCTCCGTCCATATTTTCTACAAATCGAACTTCGCATCCGCAGAATATCTCAGCTCCCCAATTCCAGGCATCTGCAAGATATGTTGTCGCCACCGAGTTCTTTGACCCATCGTTGAGACCAGTGCACTCATGGCCTGATTGTCTGTTTGCCTGCATAGGGACACCTGCATTGTTGCAGCCATTGTGGAAAAATATAGTCAACGGTACTCGATAGAAATTATTCCTCTTTCCTAGCCATCTCAACTCTTCTTGGAGATGCTTGAGTTTGTTTGGGCTTAAATCATCCGGGTATGTGGAAGGCTGTAGCATTGTTTCGGCGCGTGCGTAGTCTGCATTGGTTATTATGAAATGTTCTCCACCATGCATATAAAACTCACGTTCGTCGAGCGCAGATGGCTGGTCCCTGATCTCTGACGGCCATGGACTCATCTGCAATGTTCTCCTATCCGCTTTCAGGAAAACCCCGGCATTGATCAATGAAGATCCTCCAAGTCCTATGCAATATAGAAAAAGGCTGTCAGGTTTCCCTAATCATCAATTCTAGGGAGATGTTGAGTATCACATACCATGAGCAGCAAACGAATGCTGTCCATCGCCTAAGAATACTTGGAAAAGCCGCGTGGGGTCTCCAGGCGACAGCCACTTTGAAATGAAGGAGCCCTTTACAGAACTCCCCGAGATGCTCGTGTTCTTCAGACATTGAGAGAACGTTTGTGGAAATGAACCGGCTTATGGGAATGTTAGCGATGGTATTTGCTTGACGCTCTCGATCCGTACATCTTCTTTCCCAGCCAAGCTCTAGCACTGCGACGCTCTTCCCTGCTCGGGCCATTCGACTTGCCGCTACTCCAGCACCATAGCCAGATCCTATTACCACGACATCATATTCCGGCCTCATTGATCTGAACGGACGACTCAGGTTCGGGTACTTGTCCGTCCTGTCTGTGAAATTTGACATTGTCTCTCGCTTTGAGTGGAAAATGAATCCTTAGAGACACAGAAAACAAGAAACCGACATATACGTTTTTGGGATGATTAGGCCGATATAAGCACATAAGCACTAGGATTCGAAGAGTAAGGATTGACACGTATTTTGCACGATAACGCGGACAAGTAGAAATTGTCGCATCCGAAATAGGCATGGATGAGCCCTGAGCTGGACAACGCCTATTGGCTATATTTGTCGAGTTATTCTTAGTCCGGGGTAATCTCGTGTTGACAAGCAAGTTAGCATGAAGCCCAATTCAAAATTCACATGATATGACATTATTTCCAACTCCAAAGAGGTAATCCTGATTGTAGATCCGGACAAGTGCTTATCGAATACGTGCTCACTGAGTAACTAGTTAGCCTAGGGGTGAGTAGTCTGCATCGCTAGTCCTATCACGTGCAGCCCTCCACTTCTACAAGGCATTAATGTAAACAATGCAAACCAGAACTAATGACCCCTCCATGCATATGCTCGGTGACTTCAAACACCAAGGCACCAGCTGATTCCACCTTCCTTAGCTATCGACCTAAAAATATGCTACCAGACGATTCAGAATGTGGGGTACTCGAACGCGTACAATTGACGCCTTCGATGATACCAAAATCTCCCAATTTTGACGTCAAAGATTCCCAATTCTTCAGAAAATTCACCAAGTTACCCTCACCGGAAGAAGTTCGCTTGCAGGCCAAAGCTCAACATCTCGCAGAAGTCTGTCCAGATAATAGAAAAACCTTCTCGATGACTGGCTTTAATTACCGAACACCACCTGTGATATTCGAGGATCTGGGGCTGTTTGTCAAATGGGGAGGCATTGTGAGAACTTCCGAGGGTCAGTGCCTCTATGCTCTCGGCCAGCTCCTTAAAGATGATATCCCGATTCCGGAGATATACGGGTGGCGGGAGGATGGCGGTGAAACTTTCCTTTATATGGAGTATTTACAGGGGCAGACTCTGGAGCAAGTGTGGGATAATCTGGGACCTGATAACCGCGTTTCGATCTGTTATGAGCTCCGGACAATCGTCAACCACATTCGCCGCCTTCAACAGAAGCCAGGAGAGTCATTCGTGGGTACGATGCTCTTAACGGCCTCTTTATTTCCTAAACTGCATCCATAACTCTTTCTCCACATTTAGGTGATATTGCACAAGATCATCTATATGATAGAGTATTCGAAGTCGAGTCGCCCGAAGCAGGACCGTTCAATACCGTCCGGGAATTCCATGACTGGTTCACTTTCCTACATCGAAGACCAATGCCAGATCCATATATTGTCCCAATCGAACCGTTCCGTCAGGACCTGCCTGATGACAGTGAAATTAAATTTACGCATAGCGATCTCCACCGAAGCAACATTTTGATAACACGCTCTGAACCCTATCGTGTTCTTGCAGTCGTCGACTGGGAACAGTCTGGCTGGCTACCTATATACTGGGAGGCCAGAAAGGCGCAGTATACTGCTGACACTCAGGAATGGTCTAAAAAATATTTGCCAATGATTTTATGTCAGTATACCAGCACTTGGGATACGTGGGCCTACTACACTGCGGCCCTGGGAGTTTGAGATGTTGAGAAAGGCAGAGTCTTATTGTTCTGGCTTTTATTGATCTCTTTTCTGCACAAGATAAACGGCGTCGAAATATCACCCAGAGACAGTGTTTGTTAAATGTGATTGGTTTTTAGCTCACCACCAGGTATTAGGTCTACCGCAAGTCTCTCTTCATTTTTCCTTCCTGCTTCTGATGTGATGTTATTTCAACGACCAAGCAATAAATTTTAGTATCTTTTTTCGTGTCTTCGTAGATCCGCCGGCCGAGATTGATACTATCCGGAAGATGGTAGCGGGCCATAATGCCTTCTTGACCATGCCCCCTTTCCGGAATACCCCATGGTCGATTTCAACGATACCGAGCCCTTATTATCGCTCGCATTCCCTACTCTCTTTCCACGTGGGGCAGCTGAGTTCGTGACACCTCGCTTGAGAGCCGTGCGATAGAGTGACGATATACTACACCTTACCTTATGAAACACGAGAGCGGCCGCTTTGCACAGCATCTACGATTCCGCTATGTGGTATTCAATACCATGTAGCGGCGGCAGGCGGCCAAGAGTGCGGGTTTCTATGTCAATTGGCAGATAGACCGGCCTAATATCACGATTGAGGAACTGCAAGATATGTTCAGTGAACTAGGTAGCCCTATCGGAGAGAGTGCCACCTGGGTGCAGGCTATTATGAAGTCTGATGGATGGTGCATATACTGGATGTTATTTATATTTGAATGACTATATAAGACTCATGGGGGAAATGCGGAGGATGAGAGGGAGCGCAAAGACTGTGCTGCCTATTTTGGTGGTTGGCCTGCTTGAACAGGAAACGAAGCAGACATTTGCCGAGATCGGGAAACTTCCGTGCTCGAAAGAAAGAATACAGATAGCTCCGATGACACTGCTGTGGAGTGGGAGTACCGTTACCAACTGCGTGATGGAATCCGGTCAAGATACTACTTGCCTCCGTGAATACTGAGGCCTGTGACATTTCTATCGAATAGGCTCGCCAGCAGGGCATTTTTGACTATAGACATCGCACCTTGCTATTCCCGACTTTACTACAATGAAGCACATCTTCTTCTCCCAATATCATATATACATAATATACTTAGACCTGATATCCTAGAAAAATAATTGACATAGGTAGACATTCATATGTTCATTAAATTGGGCTCATTGACAATCCCACTGCCACTGGGCATACCCAACTATTTACAAGCATAAACGGGTTAGATATCAAGGATCAATAACCACAATATCCTTCTCCTCAACTGGCGCCTTAACAATAGGCCTCTTCGGCGCTACAGCCCTCGGCACCGGCTTGATCTGCTCAAGACCGCCCCGGCAACGGCCGCAGAAGTGACGCTTGGGGTCAACGCTCTTCGAGTGTCGCCCGACTGTGAACCCACAGCCCTGGACCTTACAAGCCCATATGTATTTGTGGTTGATCTCGTAGGTGTGTTTGGTCGTGACCTCAACCCGGCCCCCGTAGATAGGGTGGCCTTCCAGTGCGCGGACACATCGGGCGCCCCATTGCTTGAAGCTGGCGCCGTGCTGCGCCGTGCCCTTTGTCCGGTTTTCAGTGACCATGATATCGAGGAGGTGGCAGTATTCGTGTGTCATGGTGCAGAGGATCTTGTCCTCGCTGTCCAGGACTTTCTCGGAGAGCTCAATGGTGGCATAATAACGCCGTTTCTCGGGGTCTTCCACGCCGGATGCTCCTTTCAGGAACCTTTCTGAACGGACGGTTGCCCGGCCGGCGGTGTTTCGGAAATTCTTTGTCCAGATGATTTTGATGCCGCCGGTTTGCTCGGTCATGCGAGTAATCTGGTCATTGGAGGCACTGTCAAGGTGCCGGAGGAACTCTTCGGCAAAGCCGATCTTCTTTTGGTTGAATTCGGCTACTTGGGCTCGGATCTCGCGTTTCCGCGCTGCCTCGGCCTTTTTCTGGGCCTTGATGGTGGTGGGAGTACCCATGCCGGGCGACCTGTCAATTGATATGATAGAGCGAGTGAGAGAAAGGTGAGGCTTCGCTCGTGACGGTGTCACAGGTGGTAGCTTTGTATGGCTTAGGTAGGGCTTCGATGGTAATTCATCCTCTGACTCTGAGCTGTGAGATGTAGTTAGTATGTTGGCCGCTGCCAGACTATGAGTGCACATGAATGCCCACATAGAACTTACTTGCACTGTTCTGGCTGCGTCTGTGTTGTAGACTCATTGTCACTGTTCAGGTCAAGCTCCTCGAGGTGTTTGATGAGGTCGCTAGAGTTGTGCAGGCCGAAATGAGGTGGAGAGCATGAATCAACATGCTTAGGTATTCCTGCCCTACGGATAGGGGATGAAGATTTGGAACTGGTTGCAGGATTCGGTGTGCAGTATTCAGGCGTTGAGATGACTGCCTTTGGTTTCTCAGTTGATCGGTCCGTCTCTTTCACCAACTTGGTCATTTCCATTGATGGTTCCTCATCTGCAGTGGTGTTGGATTCTGCTTCTGATATAGGTCGTCTTCCACGCATGAGTCTTTTTCTTGGCGACCTCACAGGCGATGGAACCGGGCTAGGTTCGGCTTCTATGTCGGCTGTCTCGGAATCCGATGTCTCAAAGGAGCTAAGCTCTTCATTGTCACTGACAATGAACCCGTCTAGTGAGTCAGAGCTATCTTCTTCTTCAAAGCTGAATCCTGGCTCCTCTTGTTCCTCTTGGCGGTCAATCACGGGCTGTGTCGCAACGAAATAATTCACTCTGCTTCTTGTGGGAGCCTGTGTGGCAATCGGCCTTGTTGGCGTTAAATCTGGAGTGCGATGTCCATCTGTGGTGTATCCTGCCACATCGTTCTCTTTGTCGTAATCTTCAGTCTCTCTTCGGATGGCGGGGCGTGGTCTCCGCTTTGCTGGTAGGAGTAACGAGTTCACACGTGCGAGCCCTAGTGTTCTGTGCTTTTGCTGCTTTTCGGTAGACTTGTGCTGTCCAGATTCACTTTCCGATGCTGAGTCGCTGTCGGGGAATATATCGAATGATCCACTTGAACTCTTTGCTTGCCGTTGCGATTTTTGCGGCTTGGTGGGCATATTGTGTTTGACTTTGTTCCCAAGATTGAGACATGGCTCTCCAGGTGGTGAACTGTTGTGAGATTTCCCTGTGCGTGGGACAGTCTCATTGTATGGCGTGTTTTTGACTAGAGGATTGGCTGTATTGACCCTTGCCATGATCGCGATGTTGTTCTGATGGCACAATCTTCGTGGTGTTAATCGGTTAATGATATCCTATAGGTGCTAATGGCGATGATGATGATTTCTCTAAATTAGTTGAACTGTGTTTGCGCTGACCAGGTCAGTGCCGGAGACCCCGGTGTTTTTCGTTGTTGGTGTCATGTCTGTTCAGCTGTCAACGAATTCGTTGGCACGGCAACGTATGTACCCAGCCAGGCCCCAACTCTTGGCAAATCGGGAAACCTAGATCCTTTCCTATTTGTCGGAGGCTGAACATGGCACTGATCCGATAGTCGCTATATCACATTCGCATAACCCATTGGGACTTTGGTGTTGTGTTGTAGACAGGCCCCTGCGCCTCTGCTAGAGCCGCAACAGCAAGGAAACATTGCCAACAAACAAAGGCGTGTTGAGCAGGTGGTGCGTTTTGCTTTCACCGGTGTTCAGTCAACAGTTACTACAATCGCCGCGGTAGCCTATTAAAATGTACTCTAGTCTCCTACAACAAATGTTGCAAAGTAGGAACTACATCGCCTTCGCTATGAATCGATCTTCACACTTGTTCATTTCGATACATATGTGACTTCCGGATTCTCCATTACTATGATGATTGTAATTCTTCCATACGGATTTGAAGATTCACGCGAATAATAGAAGAACTTTCGACGGATATTTTCTTCCAGGGTACATTGAGTGTGCTTCGCTGTTCACCAAGTCCGTCCATCCAGTTAGATCCTTGACTCAGTCCGTCTTCGGAGATGGCTTAGCCAAACGAAACAGAACGTAGTACTTGTCATGCCACTCTTCGTTTGCATCAGTACGGCCTGCGCGTGAAAACCCCGAGAAATGCCTAATTCTGTCAGCTTATAGTGCTCTCCATTCAACAACGGATAAAGCGTACATATTCCCGGTGGCCTTTCATAGATGATCTTCGACATAGTTGACATACACGGTAGGTAACCGTGCTTCTTCAGCTTTCTAATTTTCATGTCAATTGAAAGCACGCCAGGCAGAGAGTTCTTTAGACTTACGGAAAGGCTTGACAAAATTTATCGCGGATCTCTCGGCGCGACTCAATTTCTAGCCCCCAGAATTCTCCTTCCCTGAGAGACTCCCTGGGAACTTTGTCCCAGACCAAATAAGTGATATAGCCCTCCGGAACGATACTATCTTCGCCTTGCTCTCTCTCTTGGTAAGCAAGGAGGTCAGGGACAACATTGCATCCATATTTATTGAGCACTTTCAAGGTCGTCAACTCAACGTGCGGTTGTGGCTTAGCAGCCTGCTTTTGTCGAATTTGAGGGCTCTGATATTGAGTGCCAATGACTGGAATTTGAAAATAAATCCGCATAAAAGCTTTCTTGCTAGGATTTCCTTTGGGGTGGCAGAGAAACTTAGCAGCTGCGTACGGAAGTCCAAGGCCATCGTCAACGTCTTGCTGCATCATCCATTCAGACCGTTCAGAGAGCGTCTTATCGATCACCCAGGTCTGGCGGGGCAGGTGGAGAGGCGGCTCGGATGGTGGATCGAGAGTGATGGCCGTGCCGTCGAGGCCGCACAGGAGCTCGGCGGTTTCGGGATTGTCCAAGCTGACTTGATAAGCTTTGCAACGATGGATGAAGACGTATTTTTGGTCAATGAAAGGCCAGTACAGCTGGTGTTTGAACGAGAGTGAAGGAAACGACAGTTGTTGATGGGAAATGCAAGGCGTAGACCTCCTCGAGCTCTGGTAGACTGGGTGTTAGGGTTTTGGCACCCACAACAGCCTAATAATAAGCAAGCAGTCCGCAATGGTTATTCCAATTCTTCTTGTACTCTCCAAGGAAGTGTCAAATAATGGCTGGACTACCGGTGAGATTAGCCTACGTTGGCTACAAAAGCACTTTATTCCACATACGAATTTGATGGCCACGGTAGCTACCTTACGCCCTAATTCGACCGAATCTACTCCGTATTCCGTATACATCGATATTATACCTCCACTGCGAATCGTTATACAACACTGCATTGCTTGTACAGGAGAACATGAATCTACGCATGGCAAATGAGAGGAGCGTTAAGAAGCGCGCTCGGTCAACTAGACAGAATACCATGCGAGGAAGGTTTAACCATTAAAAATGGCCTGCAGCTAGTTGCGCAGTTAGATTTACCCAATAAGTAGCCCGGACTGTAATCTACTTAGTAGGTCTCATTAGGCACTTAGAATAGAAAAGCCCACCTCGTAGGGGAAATATGGTACGTATCTACACCATCTCCGAGTGTGTAGTGCATTAGTTCATTAATATGGCATTATGGTACTCCTACCGTATTTGTCGTGTCATCCACAACACTACTCCATACAAGGCTCCAATATTCTTTAGGGAAAGAAAAGTTTGATGGTTGTTAACCTTAGAAGTTGTGGTTGATTATATATCGGATGCAACCATGACGAAATATATAACTACATCGACGGCAAAAACACCAAGACAAAGTCTATTTATATGACTGTATATACTGATCTAATATACGTTATGTATAATGAGATCAAGTATGGCAACCATAACTCAAACATACAATGGATGAAGCTGTACTTCCACATAGAATCTATAATGTAGAAAGATATGCCTCCTGTCTACATTGAGAATTAATAAATCTGATAATAAGGTAGCCATGGTTATTATAGCCTATTTACATATAACATACAAGGACTAATAAGCGTCAACTAATGATCCTAGATGGGTGAAACCCAGTCCCAAAGCCAAAACCGCCGACCGAACAATAAAACCATAGAAGGGAGAGCGGACCAAAACCAAGCCAACTGCAGCTCTATGACGTCCAATCATAACCAGCACGACGAGAACCCGAAGACCAGACGTGCATAAGTCTTCAAAGGTCTCAGGTACTATCAAGCCGGCCTCCTTGCTACAGGTACATGATGTTCTACACGGAATGGATGTACTTCCGGAGCATGCGGATCGCAAACGGAGAAGCCACATTATACCGCATGGCTTGCAACTGAGGTTGGGCTCCTGGACGGCTGGACGGACCTGGATCGACACGGGCAGATGGACGTTGACCAGCCATTCCATCGCTCTGCCGATAGAGATCGGCGGCCCCTTGCATCCCAGCACATAGTGGATATGCCTGACTCGTTGCAATCTGATCGGATATAGCCTCCGATTGGTGAGAGGATGTGCCAGTTGTTCGCATTTGTAGATTGACATCACTGGTGAACATTCCTGGCTCTACTTCGGCTGGAGATGGGTAGTAATCGGTTATTTGTTTAGATTATTCGGTGCGAGATGGCTTCGATAGAAGGCTAGTGCAAATAATGTGGCTTGGATATTAAAAATAGAGGAAATAAATGATTTACAGAGAGAGAGCTCTCCATATGGGAGATGACCATCTGGAGTCCTCGGGTTGATTTGTTCTGCTAGCCTTAAGGAATATATTGTAGAACTACACTATGAAAGAGAGTATACTAAAAGTAAGAGACGAAGTAATAGGTACACGCTGTACTAGCACACATTGTTGAGTGCCACTCTACGTGCTCATATCATGCGATTGCGAGCGAAAACGCCGCAACAGACACAAATTTGAATGTTGAATCAAACACTGAGATAAGACAATATTTGAGCAATAATTGGCGCTTGATAGACATGTCTCACTATCAGGGATACAGCATAAAGTGATGTTGTTGCTTTTTGAAATTTTTGATCTAAGTACTTCTAGTTGTATATATATCGTGAGCGAGATTGCACAACCATATTCGAGGACTGGCGGAGATAGCATAAACCATGCCATAAAGCCATAACACCGTACTACAATGTAATACCTGCTAGGGGCAAAAGTATACCCTGTAGTCATATGTTAAGTTCTTTATGTGAAAGGCGGGAATCCTGATTGCTTGTTTGAACTCCCATGGCATTCGATTGGCTACAATAGTACATACTAATTCAAAACTCCGTATTCCGTACTCCATTTCGTGCATAGACGTTGTTGTACAAGTCATGTGGTGCGGCAAGCTTTTCAACAGAAATTATCCAGTACTGTTGTACCTGTACGGAGGACTCCATATATGGACACAACTACGGCCTCAAAAATAGGGGCTGTGATTGGCTCCTGGTCATGACGCAGACGGCGGTGGAGGATAACGGCGCAGAGGGGCCCGGGTCACAGCCCCCTAATTATAAATTGAATCAGTGCTCAAGGTGCGGTCAACTCGACTCCTATGTATAACTATGATAATCATTAGAGGTGCCTTATAAATCAATGGATCTACTGTAGAGATCGAAACCCTTTCACGGGGAGCCAGTGCGAACATTGAATATAAAACGCCCTATTCAGGGGCCAGAGCCAAAAATAATCATGGAAGCGCTTGTATGGTTCTAGAAAGGCCAATGCCATGGCTCCCCTATGTACTCCGTAGGTCCAAGTAAACTATTTTCTAATTAATAGGGGTACGATAAATAACCCTGAATCATTTGCTTATATTTAGCCACATTGAAGCGCTGTCGTGCTAGTGTAGTGTACACAGTATTGAAAGGTGACGGGTCAATACGCCACAATCAGTACAATAAATGTGCGACACTAGGGCACGCCTACCGGCTAATGATCGCTGACTAGGCCCTTTAAGACCGATTTCGCCGAAGATTATTTTTGGTGCTTATTATATAGGAGTGCAATCCAATCGCTATCGGCTTCTTGAGAGTGTAATTGATTATAGGGTCAATAAAGGCCACGGTAAGTGGATAGATAGCGAAAACCCACAGGGGAAAACGAAGATCAGATGTCGAAGATCGGTGCTTATGCAGCTGATGTGTCGTTCCTGTACCTGCCTCCACTAATATGAAAGTGTACAAGGTACAAGTACTCAAAGTAATACTGCAGTCTGCGAGTATATATGTGCTACGGCATACCCGATAAGCATTGGCTTGCTTGTGCAGTGGCGTTGGTATTGCGTACAACTAACATACGGAGGATGGAGTACAATATTTTATGGAGTAGACTTCTGGGTCGAGGCTTGAAAGAATCATTAAGAAAAAGGAATCGGTGATCCACTTGTGTGGACAAGATGAAATCCCGAGTCTAACGGTGGAGATCTTGGAATACCAGTTCTAAGATACAGCGGTATGCATAGAGTCTCAGGTGTATTGGTACATCTATATACAGTACACAGCTGTGTTATATTGATGTATCTGTGACAGACTATCTAGATTGCACAGAGGCTAATGCATCGATAACCTTGGAAGACTAAAAAGATAAATATAGTCAATGACGATTGAGTTTTCAAACGTTATTTAGCGAGTGGTGGAAGATCAAACAAGGCTAGCAAAGGCTGTACTGCCAGGTTTTCTCGTGGTACAGGATCCACCGATAACATCCACTATGGCCTCCGTACGGGGGAGTACATGTATGGGCTTGCCAGCCACAGAATAACCGGCAGTGGAAAGTCAAATGTAATACACATGGGACTGATCGACCAGATTTGAGACAACTTGTATTGCGGTGGCAAATCAGCAAACACCACAACATAAAAAAAAGATTCACTAGTTATGAAAGCAGCAATTTGAATAGAAGATCCAGATTCAACAACAGAAGATATACAATAAGCAGTCTGGTAGCAAAGGTGGTTCTTGTCGCGGGGGATCCATGGAACGGCAGCTGAGGACACGAAGGCCACGGGTCAGAGCTCAAGCTGATATTAATTTTATTTGAGCTTCGAATCAGATTGAAGAACATCAGGAGATAATAATAAACGGAATGTAAAATATGCAAATTACTAGTTCACTTGTATGGTCCTTAGTTGCTACTGGTCACAAATTCCAGAGGCACTGACTCGCCACATAAGCAGATAGATAAGTGTACGTACCCGTACCTAGGTACAATATGTACGCAGTACGCAGCCCGTACATTGTGGCGAACACTGTGAGAGGCAAGTCTGAAAATGGACGCCCTCTACATAGTAGGAATGGAAATTGCCGGTGCAACGCCATCCCTACATACCAAGTATAGTCACCATAGCAGAGTCGACGAATCAAGGCCATTTTTGGAACAACACCAGGTATCTCTGAAAATAGCTTCCGGCCACATTATTTGTTACCGGATTACATGCTGGCTGGGTCGCGGTGGGGCAAGTTTCAGGGGCCGTCGAGACTCCCTTGGATTCCGAGTGTCCATGGGAGATTGTCATTGGATGGTGAGAGGGGAGATTGGGGAAAGGTGAAAAGTGATCGGGGAAAAAACAACAGCGTAATTACAGACGGACGATATCGGTAATTCACAAATGGTCGATCAGCGAGAGACACAGAGAGAGAGAAAGGGAAAGGCGTTTGGTGAATACAAAATACCTGGGAGCGCCAATAGGCTGAACTTAATGCGCCACGTACGGTAAACAAAGGGGGGGGTTGACAGTACCTGGGACAAATAGGGGCTAACCATACTGGGAGCAGGTATCCAGTACCTGCAACTCTGACACGTACCCTTTATAGCTGTAAGATGACGGTAAATTACTCTGGAGACGGAGCCAGTTCCCCCCCGACCCAAAAATAACAAGCATTTTCTGGTCTTCCCTTTCCAACCCCCTTCCATTCGCTTTTTGTTTCCATCTTTCCTTCTAATTTGCTATCTTTCTTGTTCTTTCTTTTTGAAGGATAGGAGGGAGGTTGCTTTGCTCTTCAAACGTTCCCATTGCACCTTCCTTTGCGTGAAACTCTCACCTGCCATTCGTTACGGAGTCTGAGACTCGTTCGACACCTTCGCTTGGGTACTCAAGATAACGCATTTCTTTCCTGCGCTTGCTTCGACTTTCTACCCATGCTCTATTAGTTCGACAACCCGAACAAAAGAAAATAATACTTTGAATGGTCTCCGAGGTGAGATAGGCTTGAGCTTGCATCATTATTGAGCTGGGCAGCTAATCCCCCGCAGAGCTTTGAGCAATAAATCAATCGCGACTCGCTTGTCATGTCGGGCTACGCAGGCGGAGGCCAGTACGACGATGGCTATGCCCACGGGCAGGCACATGGTCAAGCTCATGGGGATGCTCATGGTGACTCGTACTACCAGGACGAACATGCACAGGGTTATTATGACAACCAAGGGTATGGCGATGGCTACTACGATCAAGGGTATAACCACCCCCACATCAGAAAATGGAGTCATGGGCTGACAAGACTAGTAATGGCTACTACGGAGCAGACGGTGTTCACGCCGACGGAGCTCCTGGGGATCATGCAGCTCACGCGGATGCAGGCCACGGATACGCCGACGGCGGATACTACGAGGCTGGGCATATAGATCCCCACGCCGCAGAACCGTACTACGACCAGGGACAAGGGGAACCCCGAGGCCGTCGTGGTCATGATTCCGAGGAGGATTCCGAGACCTTCAGCGATTTCACCATGAGGTCCGAGACTGCTCGGGCTGCGGACATGGACTACTATGGCCGTGGAGACGAGCGGTACAACAGCTACTCAGACAGCCAGTACGGCGGTGCTGGTGGATACCGTCCTCCTTCCTCTCAAGTTTCCTACGGTGCCAACCGATCATCTGGCGCTTCAACTCCTGTCTACGGAATGGATTACGGCAACGCCATTC